GCTGAACCACTTCACCTGTTTTGCAGTCCTCTTCAACCGTGTCCAAGAGTGGGTAGGACCCTCATGAATTGCTCTGGAGCCTGCAAGTGGTCTGTGAGAGACTGAGGCTGACAAGTGAGGTCTACCACATGAGATCTGGTTTAGCTGGTTCCAGTGTGAGTGACACATCCCAGTGGAGCAGGGTGCCTTTGGTGCAGCTGATTGCACTTCCCTCCTTGCCTGCTTCATTCACCTATCTAGGTAGATACATCTCCTGCTTAACCACCATTTCTGTCTGGCACAGGCATGAAAAGCTATGCTTGGAGCCTCTGTTCTTAGAAGCAACTATGAGTTGAACAAAATATTTTTATACTCATTCTGATTAGCTGCTCTGTATGTTCCAGAATGAGCTGGCACCAGAAAATCAGTAACAGGCCAAAATTGCGTCCTCTTCTGGACAATTCAATAGGGACCCTTGTTCTGTAAGAAGCAGCAGCCAAAAAATAAGTAAAATGCTCTCCTGGGTTGCAAACTGAGATTAATAACAGGGACGTAATGCAGCAGTATTATTAAAGTCAATTTAAAGATGCCTACAGATAGTGTTGGCTCAGATACCCCTGTCCCAGTGTAGCATATAGGACATATGAAAGCAGCTCAGAAAGCCAGCGAAAACGTTGTGTGTCCAGGAGAGATTTCATGGTTAGAAAGGCTGGCACTGTTTAATTTAAGAAAGGATATGAAGGAAAGGGAAGAGAAGAAAAGATCTGAAATGATAAACAGTACATGGGGCCTGATGTGACAGGCAGGAGGTGATGGCTGACACTTGTGGGCAAAGGGAAAGAACAGCAACCTGGAGCTTTGGCCAGTGGCCACTTTCTGTGGGGAACCCTCCCCCCCGCCCGCATCTGCTAGAGAGTGACGGGGTCCAGGGGAGCTGGCATCACTGGCACGGCAGTTGTGCTAGGATGGAGATTCTTGTTCAGATACGGCCAGGTTTGAGGATAGTATAAATAAAATGCTGCTAATTACATCTGGTAGGGCATGGACAAAACATGCTGTGCCCAGACCAAGAGCTCCTGGGCTGAGGAATCACCCCAACCAGCAACGTAGCCTTCCAGGAGAACAAGGAAGAGTCCTAGGACAGGGAAACAAGAGGAAGAGGAGTCTGAATTTTCATTTCTTCAGTAGTAAAAAAAAAAAAAAAAAAAGAAGGGAAAAAAGCTGATACAGCATACTGAGGTGAGGGCCAGCACAGGTGGGGCCTTGCAGACCCAGTACTTAGAGGCAAGATGTTTGAAGCAGGCAGCAGTAATTTCTGAAGAGCAGCTGCAAAGAGATGGGATGGTCTGACTGCTGCTATTTAGCCTAGGGCATCCCCTCCCCTGCCTCCCTCCCCCCTGGCAAAAAGACCTGGGGAACTGCATGCTCCTTCAGGGGCAGAGGTGGAGGTGGCCAGCAATACCCTGAGCCTGGGCAGGGAGCTGTGCGTAGGACTTACCCAAGGTGAGGTGGGATGGGATCAGTGACTTCCCCATCTGTTGTGGGAAGAAGGTGAGCTTGAGACCACAGCCTGCTGATTTTTTACTCTGTTTTTCCACTTTTTCTTTAATAAGGCTTTCTTTTACCTTTGGGGTTTTTTGCTTATGAAAAAGCAAACCATTTTCATCATGAACAAATAGGCAATGTAATTTAGTTTGCTGGGATGCTATGGAGGGATTTGAGCTGATGCTACTGAATATTTAGGAACCACTCTTTGCCACCAGACAGTACGTGGCTGAAGTATTAAATGTAGAAAAAGTAAATTCACATTCTTATTTCTCTTTTCTCACAGTAGGCAAAGTTGAAAGATCTAAACTGGTAAAATAGGGTTCATTTTAAAACAGCATTTACAGCACTCAGTACTCCAAGATGTAATTCAAGAGCATGACAAGGGATTAGACAATGAAAACAAAGTTATTCATTCATGGTATAGGGTAATACTTCGTATCCTCCTGAAGAATTTGGAACTAGCTATTCTCAGGGACAGGACACAGACCTGAAATAATATCTGAGGTGCTGTCTGTGAACAAGATGGGGTGTGTATATATAAAACACGTCACTGAGGCAGAAAACTGAGGGATAAATGTTCAAAGATGCACTGGCACAAAATGATATCCAGAAAAAGCAAAACTAAGTGTATGCCCAGCTCCTTGTAAATCTCAGTGTCAAAATTTACAACTCTCTATACTTAAATACCAACTATAGCTGGGAAACAAAGTATCTTCAACTCATTTAATAGGAGACACAGGTCTCCCAGCTGCTTTCAAGTGCTCTC